AAAGTTATACCGAGTGGAATAAAAGTTGGAAGCAGAAGAAAGAGTTTAATATTCGGCCATCTACGGTACAATACTATGAAAACTTCAAACCATCAATTTCAATGGTTAAGAAATGCTTTACTCAGTTTCGTTACCAGCACAAATGACGCAGGACGTTCAGGTCGTCCAAAAGAGGTTGTTACGCCAGAAATGGCCAATAAAATCCATGGAACGATGAACGAAAAGTGCGTGAGGTGGTTGAGGCTGTAAGCAACTGAGAGGGTACATCACATTTTACATGAATATTTGGATATGAAAAAGCTATCCGCACGATGGGTGCCGCGATTGCTGACACTCGACGATAAGCGCTCCCGCGTGACCATTTCAAATGAATGTTCGGTCGCAATCCGAACAAGTGTTTGCGACGTTTGGTAACCGTTGACGAAACGTGGGCCCATCACAACACACCAGAGACCAAATAACAATCAAAACAGTGGGTTTGTGCAGGTGTACGTGCACTAAAGAAGGCCAAAATGGGTATGTCGGCCAACAAGGTGATCGCCACAGTTTTTTGGGCTTTGAAAAGTCCTGTTTCATCAGGACAATACACGGGTGCATACGTATGTAGTCGCCATGGCAAAAATCCATGAGTTAGGCAAAAATCCAGCATATTCTCCAGATTTAGCCCCCTGCGACTAGTTCCTGATTCCAAACCTGAAGAAATCGCTGGGCGGTAAGAGAGCTGGAATATGTGTATCGAACTAAAAAGAGATTATGTTGAGATATAAAACGGTTTCGGCCAAAAAAAAAATTCATTCAAAAAGTCACTGACTTATCAAACGACCCTCATACATGGAGTTTTATCTCCAAATATGATATTCCTATGCAAAATTACATTATCAGCAATCTGATGAACAATCGGTTGGGTAATTCAGTTTTCAATTCAATTCAAGTAACACAATCAATTACTCACCTGTTACATTAAATCCATATTTTCCATCTTCATCAGGATATAAAATAACAGTAGCAACATGTTCATCTATTATTTGAGATATCGGAGAGTGGCTTGTACTATACGGCGGAGTGTCATACAATCCATTAGAGGCAGGAGAAGAAATCTCTTCATCGGCATAACTCATTACTCTTCCAGCTATGCCAGGAGAAAATGGTCCTTCCAATGTCCTTTCCAAAAAACCACCATCACTATCAAATTCAACGTTACATGGGGTAATATAAAATTGACGTCATTCCTTTGAAGATGTCGCCTGGGAGTATTTAGAGAGTACAGAAACGGGTAGAAAATAAAAATTCTTACACTCAGTATTTTGGTGATAAAATTAGATACGTATAATGGTCCTTTGCCGGACTATTACTTGATACTGAGTTCTCTCAAAAGTTTCAGTTAAAAAATCCCTCTTTAAATGGTTCGATGCTTGATGTTCAATCAAGCTCAAAACTGGCGTAATCGTTCCTTATGGGCCTTGAGTATGACTATCTGTCTGAGCGTAATCTGTTACTAACAGCTTTTTCAAAAATATTCACTTTTTCTCTGCAGTCAAGTACTAACCCAAACGACACGGTCTGGAGAGAGGGACTCCTCTACAAATTTCTCAACGTGGTACCGGGCAGCCGAATAGCATTCCAGCTGAACAACGTGCTCTTTGATAGGTCTTTCCAAATAATAACAGGAGGGAGCAAGAGCAAAATGAGACATCTCAATAATGGACTACCTCAGGGCTCGGTACTAGCACCTGCCCTGTTTAATCTATACAGGGTATCCCGTAAGCACATGATCAAAAGGACACTGCGATACTCTTTGCACCAAAAGAAGACGATCTGATCTAACTTTTATTAACAAAAACTGTCTGCCTTTTCTGCTATTGATGATCAAAGTTCTTTAAAAAAATATTTTTTTTCCAAATATCGGGAGAATGGTACGATGTGTTTAGTGAAACTCGCTGTAAATTTATTCTTATGTAAGACTCATATTTTGATGAAACAATCGAGTTCATCCGTTTTGGACAAGTGGAGAATTCTTGAGGATCGTGGTACGAAAACTACCAGAACTTTTTGTTTCGTGGATGAAATCAAACTCATTTTTTTTGGTTGATGCACTAATTATTTGTTCACAATTTTGTGCTCTTTGTAAAATCTTATAGCATGCATAGTTTTTGCGAAAAAAATATTTCTGTTTTCTTGCCACTTAACAATGTTAGATATTAACTGCAAATATCGTGATACGAGGCATAAAATCATTGTTAATCAATCTCACAAAATCGTTTTAAATGACCTTTTCTAATCAAGAAGTGACGGACATGGTCAAAGTATTAGGGTTTTGCGAAGACAACTGCCGCGTAAAAGCGTACGCGTTTAATGGTAACAACGGACCGAACTCTTTCATACAAAACGCACCTAGAAAACACCGCAGCTAAAATAAACACCAGAAATAATATAATTCACAAAGTCTGTGGTACTTCTGGGGCGCGAAAGCATCCACTCTCAAAACTTCAGCTCTTGGCCATGTTTACTCCGTGGCTGAATACTGTGCCCCAGTCTGGCTGAACACCTGCAATGTAAAGACTATCTACACCAAACTCAACGAAACAATGAGAACAATTAGCAGCTGTTTAAAGAGTACACCTTTGCATTGGCTCCCGGTTCTGAACAATATTGCACCTCTCACCATCCGCAGACAACAGGGCTTAGTGAATTTAATAAAATATTGTCAAATCTCCTACACCCAGTGCACAATGACCTTCCTGACGCCCGCTTGCAAATACTGAAATCTAGATCGCCCCTACTACCACCGGCAGGACCACTCTTGGCAGAGAATTTCAATTTGACCGATAAATGGAAAGAAGACTGGGAGGCCTTGGGACTGGCCCTGGTAGTTCATCTAACCGATCCTACAGTCAGCAATGGAGCTGCCTAGCCTTGAGTGAAAAACACTCAACAAAATAAGAACATCCCTCGGCGTCAGTAGTCAGTCGTAGTACATAGAATATATTTGTGACATTTTTCTCAAGAACAGAATCCATGTAAACCATACGCTTAATAAATAAACTTGGTCCTCTAAACCTGTAAATCAAACTTTTCCGTTTGGCCACGTTGGATCACATGCAGCAGTTGCCATGGGGTTAATTGGATTTGTATGCTAGTAATAATTTAATACTCCGGAGTTATCAATTTGCGAAACTAATGTTTTGAGATATGGTTTGGGGTGCTACTCGATTCCATTCACCCATGTTTTCCAATTTTAATTTGTGTGGTTATTCTGTACCGTTTGTCACCATGGGTGGTTGACTTAGGGCACCCGCAGACGGACGACTTTTGTCTCTCGACAATTTAGTCGCCAAAACCCGGCGACACTGGAGCCTACACACATTTTTGAAGCGTTAAAAGTGCGACCATGCCGTTTCGGTACAAGCCAAATTTAGTCAACAAATTCATCTGACGCTACCACAATTTTGCCGCCAGTCTGATTTATCCCGTTCAGTCCTGTGAGTTCGGGACTGAACAGGATGGTAAAAATCTGTAACGACTTTTAGACGCAGCGTCTAAAAGCCTGGGTTCGCTTGTGCGATTGATGCATGCGTCTGACGCAAACAGCGGCTGCAGTGTCCATCGCATGCGTCGTAGGTGGGTTCGCTTGTGCGCCTAAAAGTTGACAAAAGTCGGCAGCCCGAGCACAGTGCAAAGGAAAATTTGAGTAGCTCTCTTATTAGAGGCTCTTTTATTAGAAGAGATTCCGTTATTTATTACGAACAGAAAACCTCACCATTCTATGTACAATCATCGAAATACAGAAGGGACTTTTGTCAACCTTACTTCAAGGTATCTTATACAAAAGGTTGCTCGTGTGCGCGACTGTGTTTAAAATAATGAGTTCCATTTTTACCAAAACTGTCGCGCTACTCTGATGACTTCTGTGATTATATCTACTGTCCATTATGATTGTACGTACTATGTTTTGTATTTTTTTTACCATTGTTGACTGTAAGGTATGTATTATATGTTGCAATATTTTGTTTTTTACTCGCTTTGTCCATAAAATTTGTGAATTTTTCTGACGCAATAAAGCATATTTTGATTTGATTTGAATTGAATTTGTCTTTACATTTTTCTGTACTGTCCAAGTTAGCCCCAGTAAGCCGCAGCAACCCCTTCAAAGGCATGACGTCATTTATGAATCATGATATATATGTTACGGTTAAGGTTGGAAATTACGTTAGATTCAATATTATCCAGTTTACATTGATGATCACATTAGTTAATGTCCGAATATAAAATCAGCCAGCTAATGGCTACTTTCACACAAACACCGTGTTACAGCCGAGACAATTTTTGTTATTAAGTCAACTGTCGCGCAAGAAGTATTGTTGATAGAAAGTGATAGTTCATTCACAATGTATCAAATAAAACATTTAACTTTAACAGGGGAAAATGACTGAACTCGAAATTAACCATCTTGACCTTAAATTAGCTGAATCTTCACATTAACTGGTTAACATGTTTACCCATTAATGTCAAGATCTGCGAAGCTCAAACCTCAACCATAACATATACATATTATTTAAAAGTAATCAATAAGGCCCTGTCCCATTCATCAGTTTTAGGATGATACTAAGATGTGTTTCTATTGGTTGACGGACACGACGGACGAATTGATTGATCTCCAACTAACAAAAACACTTTCGTATCATCGTATTAACGGATACATGGGACATGGGCTTTACTAATAAACTTAGTTTACGAAATTTAAATTAAACTAAAATTCAAGATGTTTTTAAATGCTTACTCATCCGATATTCGCACATCTTCCGCCCATGCCTGCTTGGGTTTGTTTGAACAAGAGGTTGTGACTTTATGAGTGTCATGTGGACGGGAGGGTCTAGGTGGGGCTAATGACACTTTGCCTTTATCTTCCAATGGTGGTGGTGGTACAGATCCACTCTTATCTTTAATCTGAAACGCAATTACCACAAGCGTCATAAGCGTCTAGAGCAACACTGCAGACATTGATAAAGGAAAAAGCAATAATATTTTTAACCAAATTCATGCTGTCCTACACAATGAGGTACAGACGGTGTAAACGGGTTCTAGTTACAATACTATAAAGTTTTCGGGTTTTAAACAATGAACAAATTAGCTAAACCTGCAGCAAAAATAATGATGTATTATTTTCATTGTACTTTAGCAATCGATCTATCAATGATCAATGTTTGTCTTACACAATTGTTTGCATAAATATCTTAACATTTTATAAGCCACATATGTTTTTACATAAAGAAGTATTGAATTTGACCAAATACTGCTATGAGTATGTACAGAGTGGGCCACTAAGAGAGGTGGTCGGCCGTATCTCACATCATTAGTCGTATCGATTTGAAGTAAAAAAAATATGAGTAAACTGATCAAGAGAAATTAGTGGAAATTACCTTAAAATTCGAAAAACGATCGCTAGAGGGCCAAATGGCAATCGTAAATTTTAAATACGGATATTTAGCGGCTAAGACAGACTAAGGTAGCTTGGAAATACTTTCATTTTATTCTTGAGAGAATTGCATTTATTTTTTGTGGTAGTATTATTGTTGTAGCTAGTCAAATAAAGTAGCGGGGGAAAGTGGAAAGTTTTCGATAGCTCCGTATTGACTTATTCAAATTCAAAATTTAAATTCTAGTTAAAAATCTGTTTATTTACTTTAACTCATGCTATAACATATTAACTCTTATGATTGCCTCTTTGGCCGCGAGAGGGCCTTATTATCACTAGTCGTCAAACTTTGTCGTTTTTCTTCAATTTTTTTAATGAAATGATATATAATATTTAAGAGAAAGAGAACGAAAAACGAAACAAAATAATGAAAACCGAATATCGATGACTTTTTTGCCACGGAAGACATAAATAATTTTAAAGCGAAAACAGTTTAGGTTAAACCGTTTTTACGTCAAGTATTCCGTTTCGTAATAACAAATGAATTTGTTTGACAATTTTGTCCAACTTGAAGTTTTAAGTCTTTTTTTTGAAATGCCTGATACAAACATCAAAGCTTTTGATATGTTTGCTGTTTATTTTGAATGCTTAAAAAGTGCAGTCATTGGTTCAAGAGTGTATGCGGCACGTTTTCCGGGGAGACACTGATATAAATACAGATTTCTTACTCGTCTTGCTGAACGATTACGGACTACAGGAAGGATCCACTGTCCAGATTTAGTGTCAATGTCTGGTGAGGAATAATTGGGAGCCAAATTATTCGTCCATTTATATTTGAACAGAAGCTAAATGGAAATATGTATTTAGACATCTTACAAAACCAACTATCATTACTTTTAGAAGACATACCGTTGCGAGTAAACATGTTTTTTCTACAAGATGGGTGCCGGGCTCATTTCTCCATTTCTTGGTAAATGTCCGTCGATTTTTAGACAACGCCTATCGCGATAGATAGGACCGAGGCAGTTTGCTCCCGGGGGTGGCGATAAAAGAGATTATTTAACAAGCCAGACCAATTTCCAAACAGAACCTAATAAGAAAAATTTAAGATGCAATTCACCACATTTCTGTCTCAGAGCTAGTGTTGCTTTATCTATGAAAAACAAACTTGAGCAATGCATTCGAAATCACGGAAAACATGTTGAGCATCTAAGCAGGTTTTAATCCCAAGGGTGCATCTCGTCCGCAGGAATACTCATACTGCGCGAAATGTAACAATCGGTTCTTATCAGAACCCATAATTGTAATGTCTTATTATAATATCATTGTTATCGTCAAATTGTTTATATCTTCGGTTGCAATAAATATATCGGTGTGTGCTTTTCACTAATTTGCTTCATTTTTTATCCTCTTTCTAAGCAGCTTCAATTTAATCGTTGAATTTTGTTAAGCCAACACGGAGCTATCAATAACTTTCTGAACCATTATTTGGCCTTCCCCCGCCACTTTATTTGACTAGCTAGAACAGTGAGACTCCAACAAAAATGAAGAAAAACGTTCTCCGGAATAAAACTTAAGTATTTTCAACATACCCTATCTGAAACCCAAAAAATTCGTAATTAAAACTTACTGATGCAATTTCGCAGTCTAGCAGCAATTTTTCGAACTTGAAAGTAATGTCTAGAAATTTCTCGTAGCCTCTTTACTCAAATTATTTTTTACCTGACATCAATATGACTAATGGTTTGTGAGATATGGCCGACCACCCGTCTTAGTGGCCCACCTTGTACATGTAAAATTTAACATACATAAGCTAAAGTATTAAAATACACAACACACTGTTTCGAAATTCTAAAATGATGATTTATACAGTGATTCACAATCTTATGAACACAGAGCAGGGGCTTGTATTCAAAACAGGTCGAGGACTTCAAAACAAGTCGAGTTGCAATTTGAATTTTTTTTTGCAGGCCCATGGTTAACGTCATGCAGGGAGATAAAGTTTTAAAAAAAATATTGGTATTTTCTCTTTAACTCCTACAGTTTATCAGATATTTCTCTAAAATTTTTTACGTAGGCTGCTGTTTGGACCCTTTCCCCAAGCCAAGCAATAGAGATGAAAATATTATGTTTTTTAGCATAAAACCTATCGGAAAACCACCTACGCCATCACGTGCAGGGCAGACCGTCTTTATTCCCAGTTTGTTTTGGACAACAATTTTTTTTTTGTTAATTTTTTATAAACATTTTTGACAAAAAAAATGTGTTTTGTTTAGTTTCTCGTTCGTAAAATCGACACGATTGATCTTAATGTTATAAATGGTTGAATTATAGAGTATTGAATTATGAAGAGAATGAGAGGTCGGCCGACCTGATAGGATCATTCTAACCGGAGAAAACTCGAATAAACCGGAACTCTTTACTGTGTTTTCTTAAAAAAATCAAAACTTGGCTTTTTTTGCTTTGTTTGATAAGTATGTTTTCGAGTCTGTTGAATGTGCCCAGGCGGCGATGTTGTCTGATAGTTTCGAGGATTTCTTTCCGGTTGTTGAAAGTCTTGTATTAGTGGGGTTCTGGGATGGTAGTTGCTGATCGTTGGGTTGATGGTTCTAGTTTCTTTGATGTTAAATCTTGGATTTCCGTATTTTGCTGTGTAATTTTTGCGTTTCTGTATCTCTTTGTAGAGTGTACATGTAGTTTGCTGGGTGTTGTCCGCTACAAAGGACGCATGTTGCAGATCTTGCAGGTGGTTGTGTCATGCTCTCCTGAGCATTTTACACATCGATACGGTTGCAGAACTCTTTTGTGTGCCCATATCTTTGACATCTAGTGCATTGGACGATTTGCTTTTTTTTAGGTGGCTCAATAATTACTGTGGCTCCTGCTAGCTTTGTTAATTTATAAATGTCCCCATGGCATGCCCCTCTCCGTGGTTCTGTGTCGAGCATTTGTTAAGTTTTTCACTTTGTGGTCGTATTCTTCGATGTTAGTTTTAAGATCTTTGATGGAGGTAGTTGGGTAGAGGTTGCGGATGGCTAATCTGAATGCTCGGTACGGCAAATCTTCAAGAAGCTCTGGCAGAGTGTTTCGTAGGAAAAGTTAATAACTTGCACTTTTCAAACGATTAGGTAAAATAACTGGCCCAACCAAATATAGCCCAAAGATAATTTTAAATTCTTTTTGGAAATGATGGGTGGATTTTGATCGGAATATGCATGGCTGTTGTGTAGATTTGTGATTTCCCTGCGCGTAAAACAGGCTTCATCAGTGAAAAGGATACTTCTGTGAAAACAAACGTTTTGATTTAAAATAAAATTCGAAAAAATCTTTGGCCCTAAGTCTTGCGGTAACACTTATTGAACTGTTTGAAAATGATATGGATGGACCGTGGACTGCGGAATGTTAAATTGCCTGGATATTCTGCGGGTACTGGTTTGGGGTTCATTTCCAATGTGGTGTAAAATTTGCTTCTCACTTCTTGCGTTCACTGCGCAAATGCGTTATTACGTTGGCAACGAGAGCCCGTCTCCCGAGCCTTCGTGCAACATTAGCAAACGTTTGTCGATTTGGAAATATTCTTCGGTTCTCCACCACACTTCTTCGGCAGTTACTCTGACAAAACCCAATACTAATACCAAATCAACTTGCTCATTGAATGAACATTTTCCAGCCATTTTTTTTAAATTAAAAACAGCTTGGTTTTACGAAAAAACCCTTAGGTACACAAGGAAACTGATGCGCGTAATGTACGAGACGTCAGACTTGACAATTTATCTTGTTAACCATGGGCCTGAGAAAAAAATTAAAATGCGTACTCCACTTGTTTTGAGGTCCTCTACACGCCCTCTATGAACCGCCTGCTCTGTGTCCTTAAGGTTCACCCTCCATATTCAATTAATAAAGTAGAAATATGTAATACCACCGGTCGCTACTTTGTAATTTTGTATAAAAAAAATTTGGTTTAACAAAACTGAAGATAAAATATTGTTAATTAGTGGGTTTAAGCACATACCAATTGTTTACTTGGAGATCTAACAAATTTCCTTTCCAAAATTCCTTTTCTTTTAACATCTGACATAGTTTGAAATTCAGTGCGCCCTGAATAACTGAACTTAGAACCCAGCGACAGAAATTTCCGTCGGACTTTTGGCGAATCCAATCTAAAAAATGTATGGTGTTCCACACATGACTTCCATAACGTTTTTGATGACCTGTAGTACTCCATGTTAAAACCAAGCAGGGTATCATAATCTTCAGACTGAAAACAATATGTATTATAACAAATGGATAGAGTAGGGTAGAAAAACTTGTATTAAAAATTATTGGAAATGAAGAAAGAAACACACAAAAAGACATTATAGAGTGTTCCATTTAAAATAAGTAAGTTTGATACAGCTTCCGGTATAACTGGAAGTCGCATAATGTCGCTGTTATTTCATCTCAAAAGAGTGTCTACGAAAATTCCATTATCCATATTTGCTGAATTCAAATCGCATTACTCCCGAAAAATATTCTAGTGGACGCTGACTGTAAAACACATTGTATATCCGTATGTTGCTAACCACGACACTAAGTTATTCGGGTTTGTGAAACAGTTAAACCATGGTACTTACCGGCTCTCTCCTCAGTTGTATAAAAAATTGCTTCCTCTTGAAAGAAATTTTCATTATCTTAGACCATGAAAAAGTATTAAACTTTATATCATTATGGAACACTACTATGCCAATGTGTGTCACTCCTAATTGGATAGTCTTATTTGTACTGTCCTGAAACAGATTCAAATATTATTATAGTTCCATCCAACATGGAAAAAACTAACTATTGAGGATTGTGACTACTAAAATATATCAAGTTCAACTTCAAAATGTGAGTTGGTTCTTCAAAACTGTAACAAATCAATGAATCTTCTATGAACCGCCCTTAATGGGTGGTTTCGGTGGTGCGACTGCGGCTCGCGATTCATGGCTGATTGCAAATTAAGCCCGTGTCCCATGCATCCGTTTGCACGATGATACGATGGTACGAAAGTGTTTCTATTGATTGGAGATCTGTAAATTCGTCCGTCGTCGTACCAAGTTAAAAAAATTTTAACTTTATACGATGGTCGTATGGTTTTTAGGTAGGGGCAACATCGAGGCCACTTCATGATTGGGACAGGAAACGGCGCGGCTATACTTCCGGGCAACAACAAAGAACATCCCTGGGGGATATTCTGTGGGGAAAACAACAAGTGGGGCTGCCAAGGGTTTATTTATTATTGATTTCGCTGTGGACAGTGCAAGACGTTCAATAAAATTATTGAATTTTGCTTCGATCGTATTCTTCCTTAAATTTAACCCTACCAATATACATACAGGGTGATTCAAAATTGGCGTCATTCCCTTTAAGGGGTGATCCAGGCTCCCTTGGGGAGTACGAGAAAAATATAGAAATTTTTTTTTCCAAAATTTCTAGAAGATATTAAGATATTACCAGTGGAAAATCGAATTTTATCTTTGTTATTAAGCATTATTTTGAAATTGTTCCATGTTTATTTGGTAGCATAGTGGAATACTTAAGCTTTCAAAAAGAAAAATTAGGATCTTTGCTTCAAATTACAAAAAATTTTGATATCAAAAAAGTTCTCTTCTACAATTTTTTGATGAAAAGGCACAGCGGCAATGATGTTTTTGTCATTAACAGATAGTTACAGGTGGATAGCCCTTGTCAATAATAACAATAATTTGTCAAACTGTGACTTACTTTGAATTTCCATTCACGCATTTGCGGATATGCGATTAGTTCAGGGGAAATGCTACAGTAACATGGCAGAAGCTGAAAGAACTCACGCCAACAAAGGGCGAGGAGAGTGGTTCC